CCAGGTATAGAAAAGTTGGCAGATTTTAACTCCAGAAAAGCAATCCAATAAGGGGAATTTCAGTGCAAGGAAAATGACCTTGGGAGAAGGACAAAGGAGTAATACATAAATATCTTTACAAGATAATTAAATCTGTAAATGAAAGCAATAATATAGTATGTGGTTTAAACATATATAAGAGCTAGATATGTGGCAGAAGCATGAAAGACTGGAGACAAGAAACGGAAGTGTATTCTTATGTGGTTTCTAAGCAAAACACAGTACATTCGGTAACCACAATAGACTTAAATTAAAGTCCAATAACAAAAACCTACCTGGAAAAATTCAGATACTTACAAATCTCTCCATACTCTAGTAGTCAAATAAATAATAAAAAGCAAACTATAAAATATTTTGAGCTGCATGAATATGGAAACACAACATATCAAAATTAGGAAATCACTGAAACAGTGCTTAGGGGAAAATTTGTTACATTAATTAAATGTATATATTCCTGCCTATGAAACATAGAAACCCAGAGACATTTTTATAACTGAAACAGCATGTATTTTTTGTTTGTTAATTTCAAGCTGGTGATTTTCTTAGAGTATCTCTCCTAAAAAATCTTTGTGGACTTTCTACCAATTCTAATTACCAGACCACACCCATAATTGTTTTCCAATCACACACTCTCCTACAGAACCTGGCGTGAATCAGACATTTGTGAGATCATTCCCTTGGGCTTCCTTTCATATTTTTAAAAGGTCCTGGTTGTTTATTTTCCCTCTGGATTATGCATGTAAGTTGGCCAGTCCTCTGCTAAGCCCATGAGAACACTGTGAGTCCACTCCATGCACTGTCTTCATACACCAGCCAATGCCTTTACTGATCTTTGTTTCCATAAGGCATATATTGCTGACTTTTCCCCAGCCTTGTGGGCAGTTGTCCTGTTAACCCTCTCCCTACGCCGACATCGAATGCCATGTGCTTTGGTGTTTTCGTGGCAGGATCTCACCTCTTAAGCGTACATTTCTCTGTCCCTCAACTTTTGCTTCATGAAAGATGCCAGGAGATTTTATAGCCACTGAAGAACAGAAGCAGGTGGCACGGGGGGCTCTGCCCTGGATGTCTCAGTCTTGGGTCCAGATTAGGAGAACACAGTGCACAGCTCTTCTGAGAGGACGTTAATACCATAGCTGTGCAAAAACGCAAGGGGGCAAGCCCAGCTGCGTGAGGACACTTGAAGCCTCTGACCATGCTGTGCCCTGAGGGTCCCAGGGGCCAAAGCAAGTCACACGACAAAGTTAAAACCGAGAGGTGAGAAAGTGCAGGTACCCACCGTGAGGACTGGGCCAAAGCCGTGTGTGATTTTGTAGAAGAGGTAGAAACTGGGGCCTGCAAGTCAATCTGCTATGGGGCAACTAGGAGGAGGGGACATGAGGAAAAGCAGAGGAGCTTCCTGGACGCGGACAGGCCCGACAGAAGCAGGAGAGAGGGAAGAGGAGAGGGGACTATGAGAAGCCAGCTTGGGGCAGTGTGGGTACGCAGGCTCTCAGGAGAAGGCGTCCGTGGGGTGTCAGTGCTCTCTTTTGCCCTCTGTCTACCTGCTGTAGTTGAACCTGTACCTCCCTGAGCTCCTGTGAGATCAAAGGCCTTTTCTCTCTGCTCAGAATCTGCTTGAACATGTTCCTCACAGTTTCCTGATCATGCTGGAGGCTGTACCAGGAAGTTTCCAAATCCTCCCTGTCGCCTACTCTGTGAGCTGGACGTTTCCGCCCTGAGGTCTCCTGTTTTTCTGTACTGTTCACGCAGGGCTGCGCAGGAGGCCGTTCTGTCCACTTGGACTCTTACAAGGGTACCAAAACCCAAAGGGGGCAAGGGCACTCCCAGAAGGCGGGTAACTGAGAGCCTCATCTCGAACGAAGTGCGTTGGAAAACATCCAGTAGGGTTCAGATTTAGTCTGTGTGCCAGTGAGGCCATCAAAGGGATGAAACGGTGACTTCCCGGGATGTTTGTATAGCTAGAAAAGTAATCCAGAAGATTCCTACTCAACAGGACAGCCTACAAGCAAGCAATTGTTAGTTTCCTTCCAAAACCCCCTACAAGGAGTGAAACTGCTTTAGTTCCAGAAGATCAAAAGAACGGCAGAGTCTGTGGCAGAGGTTCGGAGAGCTGTTTTAGGAAGGACAGAAAGAAGCCCGTCAAATGGCTGCTGACTTGACAAAACCGACAAGCGCTGGACTGCTCAGGAGAGGAAACAGAGGGAGAACAGGGCTGGAGTGTGAAATCCAGGAGGACGCAGAGGCCAATGCCTGGAGACCGCAGGCAGAGTCAGGGGCTGCACACAGGGACGGAGCCTGTGGGGACCCGGAAGGAGGCCTTGAATTTCCGAGCCTGTTCGCCTCATTCAGCCAGAAAACCCAGCAACAACTGCAGCTTGCGCACCGGCCGGAAGGCAGAGCTTGACTCCCGGAGGAGGCGGGACCAGCACTGCCTTCCGCACACCCGGCGAGCAGAAGGCTGCAGAGAGAGCGCACTAAAAAGAGTGGGATTAAGTCAAGTTCCATCCTCTAATCCCTAGTTTATAGCTTCTAAGCATGAGTTTTAAGAGGTAGAGAATCCAAGACTATTTAGGGAACCAAAAACGCAAGAGGAAAAGATGCACTCAGAACCTCAAATTTGGCAGAAGAAGTCAAGCAAGATGACAGTCTCAGAATGTCTTGGGAATGTGACAGAAAGCCATTTGTACCATAAAAATTTACAAGAAGGAAGATAAAGAAACTAGGTTTCACAGGCAGTATTTTAACCCTTAGAGATTTCTAATATGGCTCGTCTATCACTGTGACTCAGGAGTTACAAAAAACACGGGGCACAGAGTCGTTCCTGGAATCTTCCCCTCATGGAACCCAGCCCACCGCCTCCCCCTGCCCTTGCAAAATCAAGTTATGGGCAGGAGCTCTAATAGGCCCATTTTTAAAGTTAAGCTTTAAACAGTCCCAGAATTGATAGTCTACAATTTAGGTCCCAAATCTGATAAAGATCCAGAACTACATAAATAAAAGACCTCAAGTGTGAATACACTTCATGACCCCAGTTCTTAAAGAGAAATAGCAGTTGGATTAAAGTTTCACAATGCTATTGAGACTGCATGCTAACAATGATATTAACCTAAAACCCAGCGAGGCGGCCTGCAGAGAACAAAGCCTGGTGCGTCCAGCCCTCTCGGCTCCCGTGTCAGCCCACCAGCGCCATGGGTGCGTGCAGAATGCTGCCCACCTCCTTCCCATTTCTCCCTCCCCACGTCCTCCGTGCCAGCCACTGTGACTCACTCACAGCTCGGCTTCTCGTCTCCAGCCCTGTCCTTTCTCTGGAGGATGCTCTAGGCTGTAGTCTAGCAGCTTCCTTCTTTACGTGTTAAAGGCTTCATTCAGTATTCTGTGTCCCTGACCACACTGTACCGTAATTACCTACCGATCCCCATGTCTGTCCCTTGGAAAGGGACAGAGGCCGTGTCACACTTGGCTCTAGAGTCAGAGTCCCAGAAACGTTTTGGAATATGGTAGGTTCTCAGATAAAAGGATAATAATTATTTGGTTATCATTCTTTTTCCCTCTAAACACTTTTCCTGTCTAACAATGATGTTTCATTTTATAGGTGTCAATAAAATTATCCTGCAAATATTTAGTCATATATCTTTGCTCTGTTGACTCCATTTCCTTCACAAAGCAGCCAAATTGAGGTTATGAGTCAAAACTTGATGTATGTTAGAACAGGAATCTGAAGAAAGGAAGCTAGGTCCATTTGTAAAGTTGTTTTAATGACTGTCTTGGTTATTTTCTTGTTGATGGGACAAAATACCCAACACCCACAGTTAAAGGAGGAAAGGCTTATTTCAGCTCACAGTGTATAGAGGTTTCAATCCATAGCTGGCTGACTGCAAGGCAGAGCATCAAGACAAAGGGCCATCACAGGGGACAAACAGTGCAAGGCCGGGCAGGCAGGAAGAAGCAGAGCAGACCTCCCTTTCCCTTCAATCCCATCCACGCTACCAGCCTTCTGGGTGATGCCACCCACAGTCAGGGTGAGGTTTCTAATAATTCACCTGAGAACCACGCCTAACCAATCAGTGGGCTAATTTAATAATCATACACCCTCATTCCCAGCATCACGCACCTTAGATCCAGCCAGCTCCAAAAGGGTTTACAGCACGTGAGGGTTTTAGGGGGACATCTAGACATAAGCCATAACAAATGATTCAGTACCACAACATCTGCTTGTACATTAACTATGATTTCTAATTAGTTTTAAAACCTTGAAATAAAAGATCCTACATGCTTACAGAGTATTATTCCATAAGCATGGATAATTAGAGATGACCATTATCCAGAGAAAAATGCATGGCATCTCTTTGGGCATATAAGTTTTTAAGGAAATATTTTTACAGAGTATAATGCAGTGGAAGGGGAAATTTTAGACAAAATTCCACTTTCTTGGTGATGAATTTATTAATTACTCTAAGTCAGAAAGCATGTGAGCCAGGGAGACATGGTTCTCTTCTCTCACCCGTTAACCCTAAATAGGGAAGTGGCAACCCCAACACATAAATGAAAAGCAAAGTGCGTGCATAGAAATGATCAGATCCCCATCAGGACACAGACCAGCAGGATGGTGTGTCAAAGATGAACAAGGGCATACTTGTTTTATAGAGCACAGCCAAGAAAGATACTATAAGAAATTGTCTCTTAAATCGAGATCCGGAACATGAGGGGAACATTCTGGAAGGTTCAGGTATAGTGTGAGCATCGGCAGACACACAGACCCCAAGCAAGGCAGAACCTCGAGTGTCTACAGAGCTTAGGCTGGAAAGAGGGAGAGAAGAAGTTAGGGAGAAGGGCAGGAGGCAGAGAAGAGACCAAAGGGAGGTGGAGCTCTGAGCGTGCACAGCATGGCTGTAAGGGGACTAGACTCCGTCTCAGAGAAATATTGGAAAGTTTCAAACAACAAAGGCCCGTAACGGCACGCATCATCCGACTGAGCCCTGGGAGATGGAGCAGAAGCAGCGAAGGTCAAGCTGACTGCTTTGTGGTCAGTGTGCAGGAGACAGGTGGCCGTGGTGTGGACTCTCGCGGTTGTGTAGAGATGCAGAAGAAGAGGGATTCCAGGATACAGCTGGGACAGTGAACCCGTAGGGCTTGCTGAGGGAAACGGGAAAGCAGACACATCAACTCATCAAGCGTGATTCGCTCGTCTCGGCTGGGGAGGGCTGGAGGAGGATGTGCTAGACCGTGGGGCGACAGAGAGCCAGAGTCCAGCGTGGATTATATTTAGCTGAAGAGGCCCATAAGGTGCATAAGTCGATGTGACAAAGCCAAGCGGCGCTGTAGTGAGCGAGACTCTAGGCCAGAGATAGAAACTTGGGAAGCGTCGGCATATGGGTGGTATTTAAAGTCATGACAGGGACGAGCTTCTCAAGAGATGTGAAGGAAGGAGAAGCAACCCAGTGGAGCTCGGGAACTACTGGTCCACTGGAGGAGCAGTCCACAGGGAACCGGGAAGGAGAGGAGCACCCCTGGACGGCGGGGTCGGAGAACCCCAAAGAGCTCAGTGTCTGAATCGGGGAGCCCAGTCAACTCTGCGAATGCCACCAGAAGGCCAGGTAAGACGAAGACAGAAAATGATCTGCTTTTTGATAGACTTGACAGTACAAATTTACTGTGATCGTAACAAGATTAATGTGCAGTTGGAGTGGTAGTATCCAGATCTCTGTTGAGTCAAAAAGGGAAGGGAATAGCCTGAGACAGACAGCTGCTGTAGACATGCTGGGAATTTTACCTGTGCTGCAGAGGTTAACCAGTAGTTACATACAGTGTGAAGGTCAAGAGCCTCTTTTGATTTCCAAGAGGGGAATCAGGAAGAGAAAGTCTAGAATATATTTCAGTTTTCGAAGAAATGAGTCATTCTTCATGAGAAAAGACCAACACAGGAGAGACATGGGGACACAGGGAGAGGGGAGAACTTGGAGAGGCGTTAAGGGTACACTGTGCAGGAAAGCCACAGTGTCTACCTTTGGTAACTGGATGGTGCCTTTGTCCATCTTAGCAGAGAAGACAGATGTAGATAAAAGGTTTGTAGATTTATTACTAGGAGAATGAGTATCAAAGTAAGCTGCCTTCCTGTGCTTACTAAAAAAGTACAAAGTACACTGCTCAGTGTCTGCAGAAATATGCAAATTGGAGGAAAGAATCACCGTCAAATATCGATTTGATGTTTTCAATCACGAACATAGAGTAAAAGCTAGTCTTTCCAGGTGGGTGATTTTTTTCCACTGTCGTTCTGCTCCTCCAGTTCAGTCACAGGGAATTCACACGGGTGGGCTTCTGTGTGTGTGGAGATGTCCAGGTGAGAATGCAGAGTGAGACAGAGGATTGAGAAGGCAGGAAGAGAGAGCCTGAAATCATGGGAGGTGGAAAGAGAGGAGAGAACATAGGTTTCATGGAGATAAAGAATGAGGGTTACACACTGGATGTCTCAACAATGACCAAGAGTTGCCACAGAGCCGCTAAAGAGCCAGCCACGAGCTGGTGCAGAGTGAAATGCTCGGTTAGAAGAAGCAGCTCGGGGTGGCTGTGGACCTGGTGATGGAGTCGCTGGTGCTACCCTGGGAACGGGCTCAGGAGGAGGACAGGGGAGACGAGGTGAGGAGAGACCACGGTGCCAGAATGGCAGCCCTCCTCAAGGGCCCTAAGGACGCAACAGAGCTGTTGTGGCTCCTGCAGGACTATTTAAGCAGTGGGAAGACGTTAAGGGTTGGGGCATAAAGTCGTATTTAGTAAGAGGACATGGCCAGAAAGCTGGCAGAGTTGTGAGCGGAGATGGTGAACACCCGGTGTCACTGCAGGACTCGACGTTTGGAGTAGCCGAGGACTGTCAGGGAGTGAGGAGGATGCAAGTGAAGGAGAGGACTCAGAAGGTGGGCACCCCTTTGCCCAGTGACCCCAAGGGCCTGCTGATGGGGACTGGGGGGGAAAATGGCATCCCAGGAAGCCGCCAGCTCTGTGGCGGGGACGAGGAGGTGTCGGTGTGTCCAGGGTGAGAGTCGGGAGTTTGAAAGGCAGCCTGATTTGGGGACGGTGGTGGAAACCAAGAGTCCGGGCACGGGTGGGGCAGCTTCAGAGACTGGCGCAGGGCACAGCGGTACATGGCACTAGACAGACTGGGAAGTGGCAGCTAAGATCTAGATGGGCATGAGTGTGGTGACATTCCTCCCCTTCGGTCGGGAAAGACACACAGCCAGAGTGGAGAGACATTCTGGAACACGCTGGTTCACATTTCTGTTGCCAGAGCAGCTGCCTGGCCCTGGCAGAAGAGGACAGCCGGGGTGGGGGACGCCTCCAAGGGGCAGCATCCCGCCTGTCCTCACTGCTAACACGCTTTTGGTTTTCCCTTGCCTGGCTCAGGCTGAAGCATCTGCCCAGGAGCAGGGACATGCGGAGAAGCCTGGTGCTGCTCTCCCAGCGGGTGGGAAGGAGGGCAGGAAGGAGCCTGGGTTAACTGGCCTCATCCTGCTGAGCTCCCTCCAACCACACAGAGACCCAACTGGGGAAACCAGAAAGAAACCGCAGCCATTGTCCAAGTGGCCGTTGTCCAGGTACAGCCAGAACAGCCCTTCCCTGGGTCCCCAGCTGTCCCCACCCCACACGCACCCAGCACCCGAGGAGCCCAGGGGAGCAGAAAGACCCAGCACAGTGAGGAGCTGTTGTGACAAGGCCTCACACAGAGGAGGGACAGAGGATTCCAGTGTGACACTGAGGCACACGTGTCCCAGGACAGCCGTGACTTTTTTTCCTTCCGTTTTTGAGTAAGACTCCTATTAAACAAAAGAGAAGGCAGATTCCCTCCCTCTGACTAAGGGTGTCAGAGTTGGGCTCCTGCTGGCCTCGCTGAGGGTGGAGGGTGGAGGCTCAGCGTCCTGCTGAGGAGGCAGCAGGAGGTTTGTCAGTGCTGCCAGCTCCGTTCCATGGCGGCCCATGGAGGGAATGGGAGGCATTTGCTCTCTACGAAGAGAAAAAGGAAGCTATGGGCAAAATTAACACAGTAAGGGCTGTGGTTTAGACAGCTTATAATGAATGTGCTCCGCCCCACTTAGCTTTTGAAAGCTAGGCAGTACAATCCAGTCTTCCTGTGCTTTCCCCTGAGCTGCGGTCTCTCTCTCCTGGCCCTCTCTTCTTCCTTTTCCCTCTGGCCTCCTCCACTGCCGCTGTCCTGGGCAGCTGAGGAGCCAGAGTCTGGACAGGTGTGGTCACACAGGGAACGTGGCCCTGGGGGAGGAGGTCCTTTGGGAGGCAGCGAGCAGGCATCTTGGCTGTGCACCAACAGGGACAGATGTCCAGCCTGAGTCAGCTGAGCGCCATGTGCATGGGCTGGGGGGCGGGAGCTGTCCTCAGTGCATCCCAGCAAGGCGAGGCCCGGCCTGGCCACCTCTCCCTCCTCCCCATCCCAGGCCCTCAGCACCGTGCCCAGTGTGCTGGCTTCCTCAGGCAGTGCCACTGTCCCCTCCTCATTCAGCCCCAGCTGAATCCACAGGAATCTCACTGTGGTCAGGCAAGGATCCCTTTCCTGGACAGGTTCTTTCTGTTTTCAGAAACCATCCTGAAATCTCCTGGCAGTGAGCTGTGTTGTGCACTCTGCAACCCACGGCAGGCAGGTTGTTCTGCACTTTTTTCTTAGAGACCTTGTGAACTTTTCAGTGCCCATTCTGTGTGCACGCACGCTCAGTGCCACCGAAGGACCACGCATTGTCGCATGTGCACCTTTACCTCAAAGTGAAAACTCCTAACATCTAAACATGAAATTTCTAAGTGCACAGTACATAAACTATCGTCACCGGCACGCACGACGGATCTTGGCTTATTATTCTGGAAGGCAGGAGTGCTACCTCCCTCCCTCAAGAGCAGTAGTATTCTGTGGGTGAGACTCATTTTGGGCAAAGGGCAGGGGTCAGAAAATGCACTGGAGATGAGCTGGGCAGAGTCGGGGGGAGCAAAGGGGAGAAGGAAATAGAGTCAGAATCAGGGGACAAAGCACTGTCACCAAAGTTCTCAGCAAACTCAGAGCAGCCTGGGAGGCATGGGTCACATCTGCAGATTTTACACCCTGGACACAAGAGTCACCTTGGGTGGCCTTGCCACCTGCCTGTCTGGCTCCTGAAAATGTGCCCAGCCTGCTTCTGGGCTGGGGACAGCCCTGGAGGATGGGCCACTTGCGTGGAACCGCGCAGGAGTGATTACAGGGTTCTGCTGTCCAGCTATTTGATTATTACTGTTGGAGGATAAACATGGACAGGACAGAAAAGCCGCTCTAGACTTTGAAAGTCTAGCAGTTTCTCTGTGATGTGTTTGGCCTCCCGTATTTACCTCAGCTTTATTTAAAGAGCAATTCAGCATCTGTAAATCCGAAATAAAACATGAAGGTGATGCTGGGTTTAGGGGTTTTTTTTAACTTAAATTTTTAAACCACACGAGTTGTTCTGCTGGTAGTATCGCCACAGAAGGCTTTTTGGAATTCTTTGAGTCAGTGCTTGGAATGGAAGTAGTGGGCTACCTTACCTTGGTAAGTTGTGACTGGAAACCAGAGCATCTTCGTTTTCAGCTATCTAAGCAGGAGGAGGGCAAAGCACGTCCACCCAGATGTCATTCTGACCACCACGGGCACCCCCACAATTGGCACCACAGCCGGAACCAAAGAAATCAAGCGGTGGCCTGCCTGTGTTCTCAGTGGTGGCCGGTGGCGACCCAGTTGGCTGGGCTGCAGTCCAGTTCAGTGACGGGAAATGAGTGTGGTCAGAGCGACCCCAAGCGCGCAGGATTCGAGCTGAGGACGGCTCGCTGCCCCGGCTTCCGGCCCGGTGTTTCTCTGCCTGCTGTGTGTGTGACCCTGAGCAATGTGGCTCGCTCAGCACCCTGCCCCACTCGGGGTGCCCTCACCCCGCACCGTGAGCCACAGCTCAGATGGTCACGGGCCTGGCGGCAGGAGGCCAGGGGCTGGGAGCAATCGGCGGGCGTAGCAGCACTCACACAATACCCGTTAGCTCTTTGTTGGGGACAACCCCACGCGTGACCCACCTGCCTCCGGTGCGATCTCTGCCCAGCAGCGTGGGGAGGGCGGTTTCAGCTCGGGGCTCTCACAGGCGGCGCCGGGTACCAGAGGGGACCAGGCGATGGGGGCCAGGCAGCATTGACAGGCAGTGGCCCAGGGGAGGAGCGGCCGCGCCCGGCCCACTCTGGGTGGAGCAGGGGGGAGCAGGACTGTGGGCGGCAGAAGGGAGCCCAGAGAAGGGAGGAAGGTCGGAGGGGCAGCAGCTGCGCAGGGGGAGAAGGCTCCAGGCCAGTGGGGAGCCCTCCCCAGCAGTGCGCCCGGTTCCTCCCGTCCAGGCTGGGTGGAGCTTTTCTTCACAGCGCCTTACTTCTCACAGTCGGTGTGGAGCTTAGGTCTCGCGGCCAGCATCCGAGTGTCTGTGTGCCACGTTGATCTACATTCCACGCAGGTCCGCGGCACACACAGCACGGAAACAGCGGAGCTTCGGGGCGATGTGCGCTCGGGCGCGCGGTTCCGGCTGGATTCCCACTCCTGAGTAAGTGAGCAAACTCCCCAGGTTCACTTCGCAGTTCCAGCCGATTCTGGATTTATTTTACAAAACATTTCCGCAGCACCAAACTCTCCTTCCTCAGCATGCAAATTATAAAATGTTTGGCATCAGATGTTTAATAAAAATTTAAATATTTATAACAGTTGCTAATGATTAATGAAGGGCTTTTCTAAACCCATATGTTAATTATTCCTATTAGCCTCTATTTTCCTAATCGGTACCAAACGCTGCTCCACTTCCCTTACTTATAAAAATTAATTAATTTCAAAATATTATATATATGATGAAAATAATAAATTTAGGATCGCTGTCTCCTCCACTGCCACCTGGCATATATTGACAGCCATATGAATCTTAAAATCTTCAGAAAAATGTGTACTTCTGTACACTCCTGGAAATACATCTAAAAAGACACTGTGTATGTTTGCATTAGAATTACAAAATTTGGACTGCCATAAGATCGGAATTAAAATTTCACAGGAACATAATATACATTATTTAAAATTGAATACCGATAAATCAGCTGTTCCCTTTACAATCCCAGATGGACGCAGATGAGGAGCCAGTTAAAAGCAGTGATCAGTGTTAACCCTCCCCGCACAACACTGCAGCGCTGTGGACTCAGAAGGAGAAGGAGGCGGGGTGGGTGGCTCATCTGTGCCCCAGGATTAAGGCAGAGGTGTGCTATTAATGACTGCTAAACCTCGGCCCACCGCGCAGCACCGACAAGGAGGCCAGGGCTGAGTGAGGGTCACAGGTCTGCCCCCGGCAGTGAGCCCAGCCCATGTCAGCAGAGACACCCCAGCCGCGCCTCTGCAGAGCCTGCATTTACTTCTCCCCCGCCGCCCGGTATCTCCCGATGTCCCCTTGCTTGTTCTGGAGAAAGGAAGGGGGGCCGAGAATGTGCAGTGCTGCTGGCCACTGCACTGAGTCATCTCCTGGTCACAGCCGCTGAGGCCCTCCTGCAGCCAGCGGGGAGCCCTCGGAATCACGGGGCAATGCAGGGCCGAGCTGAGCCTCGACTTCCCTGCGGTGTAGCCTCTTCCAGGGCTGTCGAAGTTCTAGAACGAGACCTTTCATTGTGCTCTTTTGGCAGCAGGAAGCAGGAGGAATCTGGAGAATGGCAGTGTCTCTATCCGCTTCTGTTAGCCACCGAGAAATTAAAGTGCGAGTCATTGCTGTCAGAGGACTTGGAGGGTCTATATTTTCTGTGTCATGAGGGGATTGAAGCAAAATGTTTTAAATAACGCTTGTACCGGTTAGTGTTAGATTTGGACACTTTTATATAAAGTCCTAAAATAAGTGAAAATTGTACAAGACACGAGTTTTATTTCTTTCTTATTTAAGCAGGCCCAGAGATTAGCAGCCGGTCCCCATCAGGGAGCTGGGCAGCAATCCATCAGCACCAGCATTCTGGTTTCAGACTGTTTTCTGGAGACCTCAGAGTCCAAGATGGTAACTGAAGCTCCTGCCGTCACACCAGGGTTACAAACAGCATGAGAGAGAAAGAAAGGCCCTGGGTTGGGGCTTTTCAACTGAGATAGATCCTGTTTGCTTTCCCAAGTCTCAACAACTACCCTCACTTACATCTTAATGGTCAGAATACTGTCACAGGATCACACCTAAATGTAAGAGGATTGAAAATATGTGTTTTTTCAGATGTTCATGTGTCCAGCTAAAAATCAAAGTTTGGCTATTAATTAACAAAGAAAGAATAGACATCCCAGTGAATACCCTAGTCTAGGCTGTAGTCAGTGTGTGAAGATATTTGGGAATTAATATTTCAGTTCGCACAGTGTCTAAAGAACTTCAGGATCCTGTGAAGGGCTTTTGCCCATAGCACGGGGCCTCCTCCTAGGCCGGCTTCCAAGCTCCTGCCCTCTAGGCGTCTTGGAACCGCGCTGACCGGTGGGCAGCACAGGGACCCAGAGTGATCTCTCCACACTGTGCGCAGGGCCACAACACCCGGCCCCCGCGGTTATTCTCTGCTTCCAAGGACCTGCTGGTGCCCGTGTCAGTGTCTGCGAGGCCACAAAGCAGGTGTCTCAGGGGTTTGTGGGGAGCAGAGGAGTGCATGTGACTGAGCACAACTCTGAGCACAGAGCAAAAACAGGAGGCCCCGCCTCGAGTGCCAGGGCAGACGGTAACACACTTCCATGCACACTCACACTCACGTGTGCACACACCAACACTCATGCACACACTTGTGTGCACACACCACACCAGGGGAAGATCTGTTCAAATGATTTATAAAGACAGGGCCCAGCTTTTTGGATGTGGCCTCTTTCTTCGTGACCCCTCAGTGCTCTCACAGAAGGCCGGATCGCAGCCTTCAAGAATTTTCAGTAACGTGATCGGTGCCATCAGGGACGCTCCCCTAAACTAGGTGGTTTTACAGGCTCGCACCTAGGTTATACCAAGCCACATTCAGGACAGCGATCAAGCTGATCGCTGACCTCACTCCCAGGATCCACAGAGCATGAGCGGAGGTAGGCCTCCTCCTGCAGAACGGCTCACTGGGCAGCCCTGGCCAAAGGGTCCACCACAGAGCTCCACAACACCCCGGACTCTGTCCTGGGAGTTAAGCAAAAAGACACTGAGTTATTTGTTTGCCAAAATAACACTAGAGAACAGGAAGAAAACACTTACCAATGGCGTTTTGGAATACAAGAAAAGTCGATTGCCAAACCACGACCACGAGCGCAGGCAGGCCAGGGCAGGGCCCAAAGTCCTCAGGAGCCTCGTCCTGCAACCTGGCTCCGACCACACCTCACAGAGGTGACCATTAGTGCAGTTTCCACCGTGCCATCATTGCAAAGCTGAAATATCTTTTCTGTTTCCATTCCACTCAGATTCTCTGTGCTGCTCTTGCAATGGTGAGCAGAAACACCAAAACAACACAAGCATTTGGAGGCAGATCCACTGATCAAATCATTCCCAGAACACCAGGCCCTGGTCTCTGGTGGCCGAGGGCTTCTATGAGATAAGCAAGCAGGAAGGACAGAGGCAGAGTGGCTTGACAGTTGGGATTGGTTCTGACAGTGTGCATCACAGTGAGCAGCCGTTTCCGGGAGACAGGATCAGCGGGAACCGGAACAGGATATGGACGGGCCAGGGAGGTCTTTTCTGCTACATTTCCCCTCCTTTTAGTTTCCTTGGCAAGCCTTTGCTGGACGTGTTACACGTGATCCTCTGAGACAAGACCCGACTAGAAGCAATAACATTAGGGTTGTCAGGGACCCTAGGCTGGGTCCTGGCCTAGTTCCCCAAGACTGGCTTATTACTGAGTTTCCCCTGAGTTGTCCTTAGGAAGAGACATGATTCAGGCCCCTCTGTAAGGCCGTGAGGGAGTTAAGCTGACCTAGGAGAGCGTCCTGTGTGTCTTGGACACTCATCAGATCTTCAGGTGTTTGAGTCTAATCCCTTGGGGCGATCTTCCATAGAGTTCAAGGCAAAAGCCACAGCCAGCAGGGTGCAAGGAGGGGAGGACTGGGGTGAGCAGACATGGAAATCACGGAGCAGTCCTGGGAACGACGTCCTAAGGCTTCAGCCATACGTGGACTGGTCAGCATCCGGAGTGACCAGAGCCGGGCTCTGAGACCATTGTCTCTTCAGAGAGAGCCTGGAGAAACTGTCCAGGTAAACTTTCCAGCAGATCTAATGTTGGATTTCTGAAACTCCTGGAGATAGTTAAATCTGAACCTGGGTTATATGTGTATGTAGATATAACTGGTCTTTCAACTGGTCACAAACTGATTTTGTTTTTGTAACTTTTTCAGAGGTTCATGGCCTGCATGCTGTATGTAATTTTTATTTAGTCTGGTTTTTTAGTTACCTGCTACAACTGCAGGCCCATTGTCATTGCCAATGATCAAGCTCTAGGAATGATTTTTTACAGTAGAAGTCTACAAATTTTTATTGTCCTCTCAGCTTGGGTACGAAATGCTTTGGATTTATTTCTGTGTAGAGGTCACTGTACGTACAGGTCAGGCCAGGGGCACAGACACGAGGCGTGAACTGGGTATCAGTGGACGGTGCCAGCGCTGTGGCTTGAGCTTGCAGAACACACAACGGAGACAGGTCCGGCTCTGCGTCATTGGCAGATTCCCAAACAGCGGCAGGATCAGTAGCAGGAGGGCTTTGGCCAGAATAACTTCGTTCAGTGTGACTATAGCATCTTTAGCCTGTCCTAACGAGCTACTTCATCCGTACACAAGGCGTACTCAGCACCTGTCAAGGAGTTTCCTTTTTAAGTCTGGTTGGCTGGAGAAGTTTTTCGGACAGTGCCAGGCAGTCATGGTCTGTTGGCCCAGCTTGTGGGCAGGTACCTGGCAGGATTTAATGGTTTTACTGCCACAAGAGTCTGGCAAGGATTTTTGCTTTAGACCTTGGTACTGGGTGAGGTACCGACAGCATGTGGCACCTGGACAGTTAGGTCTTGGCCTAAGGTGAGCCTGTGAGCTCTTTTGATCAGGACAGTGGCTATTAGATCACAGGGATGAATAGGAGGCAGCCGTTAGAGACTGGATCCAAGTAACTGCTCAGGTGGGCTATAGCCGCTCCCAGGAGCTAACAGTCTGACTAAGCATCATTGTTTTTATGAACTGAAGGATCCAGATTTTATAGAAGCCAGCAGTTCCAAGAAATTTGTGGAGATTTTTCCTGTAAGCAGTTTCTGCCAGATTTTGTGTCTTCCCAGCAGGAAGAGTAAACAAGCTTTGCATCCCCTGGAGGGATGCATTCAGGTCAGCTGGCTTTGGAGTCCAGAACGGGAGTCTTTCCATTTAAAGGCAGTGAGGGGTGGGCTGACTGGAACCAAGCGATGACAGACAAGAGCGTTCTTCAGGTCCAGGCAGGCACAGCGGCAGGCTACAGGTGGCAGAAGACAGGCAGCCCATGCAGAGGGCCGTTGCAGTGGCACTGGCAGCTGGAAGATGGACTGGCTTCAAAGTCAGGAGCGGTGCACTGCAGCATCTTCGCCATCT